AAAATGGTGACAGCAACTACAAGTACTCTGGAATGTAAAGCCTACTAGCACAGTTTGGACATCATTTGTTTGAGATTTTTCCATGTTTTGGTTTCCATTTGTAGGGCAGTGCACCAGGAAAGAACTGATTTCCAATTTAGGGGTTGGAAAGAAGTGCGGTACTCCGCTAKTACGAAAAMCTATGCTCCCCCAACACGAACAAGACTTGCCMGTACGATGCATACMGGTAGGAAGAAGACGGGGAAGATCCAAGCGGAAACGAGAAAAGTGATAAAAGTTGTGTCGATGACTTGAAAAGATGCAACACGCTCCGCACAAAAGTATCAAAACAGCAGCAACACCATCTGGTCTCTCTATTCTCGATAGTCAKCATCTGTATTCTTCACGCTGCAAGTCTTTTTTCGTGACTACTGCAGGTGAAATAGTTCACGCAGTAATACGTATCAGATAGCACTTCTAGCAGTGAAAACGACCGACCTTTCAAAGCAAGAGAAGRACCGTAATTTTTGTCGAGCCCAATAATATTACGATGATAAGCAGCGATGTTATAAGTGACGTCAACAAGGCTGCTGGAATGGTCATGAACTCAGCCGTTGCTGCAGTTGGGCCKGATCCAACAGAATTTTTGAATTCACAGCTAGCATCAGCCCTCAGCACCCTTGGTGACTCGCAGTATTGGGAAGAAACGATATCTCCGACCACGATTCGCAATGAGTTGAGCGCGAGCGACCCGAGCAATCCGAATTCCACCCCAGTTCTTCAAAGAGGCATGAAATGGTTACTAGCTTCYATAAGTAAAGGCAGAGATGTTTCTGACTTCTATCCCCATGTGGTGAAACTGGCTGGGGCTAACTCCCTCGAAGTCCGAAAGATGGTTTATATGTATCTGGTTCAATACGCAGATCATGACGACACAACTCGGGAACTCTCTCTCCTTTCCATCAACGCATTCCAACGAGGACTCTCCGACCAGGAGCAGCTTATTCGAGCTCTTGCGCTAAGAGTACTATCGTCGATTCGAATCAATGACATCTTACAGATTCAAATCCTTGGGGTTCAAAAATGTGCTAGTGATTCCTCTCCGTACGTTCGCAAGTGTGCTGCCAATGCACTGGCTAAATTGGTTCCGAGGTGCGATGAGATGCAGCGAGAAATGATGTTACAACTGATGAAAGAAGAATTCCTGGATAAAGATTCCAGTACCATGGTGCTGACATCTGCGCTTGTGGCTTTCCGCGAATTGTGTCCCGATCGACTGGAACTTTTGCACTCGTCGTACCGAAAAATATGCCACTTGCTGACCGATATGGACGAATGGGGGCAAGTTGTCATCATCGATTTGTTGGCTCGTTATTGTCGGCGATTTTTCAAGGAGCCCAAGGCGTTGAAGCAGGGTGAAGCCGAACTCATCGATCAGGAACGACGTGTCCATCGAAAACTCTCGACCGGAGCGCAACAGACAACAACCAAATCTGAGAAAACGGCACTGGGAGCCCACTCTGTTCCGTTGTTCCAAGAAACGAAGTTAGACACTGGTGGTGGTGGTGGGTTTAGAGATGTTATCCAAAGCARCAGCAATACCGGCGGTTTCAAGGATAAAACCCATGTGATTCGACAGGTTACGAAGGGTTTCTATTCTGACGAAGAAGATGACTCCACAGGKGAAGAAGTCGTCACGCGTACTATCTCGACTGCCAGTGCCATGCGTCAGCCCCCTGTGATTGGTACTGTTATGGCAAGCGCAAACACCAGTCCCGAGCCACTCAATGTTCTTGCCAACACAGATATCGATTCCGACCTGAAAAATTTGGATCTCGATCACCAACTCCTCTTGATATCATCTATGCCTCTCCTCAAGAGTAGAAATGCTGGCGTAGTTTTGTCCGTCTGCTCTCTTCACTACTACTGTGGAGTGTCAAGCATTAAAGCTAGATCTGCAATTGGAAAAGCTTTGGTGCGCATTCACCGTGGACGACGAGAAATCCAATACATCGTTTTGACATCGATTCGGGTCTTGGTGCGAGATTGTCCTTCGGCATTTGCTCCATTTTTGTCAGACTTTTTTGTGAAGGTAGGTTGAKTTATTGAAAACAGCTAGTTTTGTTGAATAAAATCGGGTTTTGAGTTAAGTCCCTCACCCTTTTTCTTGCAAATTTTATCCAGGCTTTGGATCCACCGTTTACCCGCCTRATCAAAATTGACATTCTTGTTTCCTTGGCTCTTGAACCTGCTGCCATCAAGGCAGTACTCAACGAGCTTCGATCTTACATTCGTGACGGTGATAAGGCATTCGCTACAGCATCTATYCGAGCAGTGGGTCGTGTTGTTGAAATTGCTCAGATTGTATACGATCGTCACGGCGAGTCAAACGGAATGTCCGTTAGAGAACGACAGGCAGCCTGCGAGGTTGCGCTGGATGCACTTTATGGCCTTTCTGTTGTGACCCAAGTTAGCGAAAGTAGGATYGTTGTTGGAGAAGCTGTTATGGTAATGGAGTCAATTCTTGTATCGTTAAATGCATCCGCTACTCTCGGCGATGGTTCGACTTTCGTGGTCCAAGATCCGAATCAAGTTCGAGCGTATGCCATGCGGCGAATCTTGTTGTTGCTCGCTGGCTCTTTATCGAGCCGTCAAAAAGAATTGATACTCGAAGTCGACGAGGAGAGTGACGATGAAGAAAAAGAAGTTTCAGACATAGAAAAGCTATCAGTGGACTTGAGATCAGCAGCTCTTTCTTCTGCTCTTTGGATTGTGGGAGAATGGATGGCCAATAGTCCATCATTCAATACTTCGTGGATGCATGGAGCACACGACATCTCTAAAGTTAGACAGGAGCTGCTCCGGCTGGTGGATAGTTGTTTCCCCCACTTCAACGTTACTGAGAAGGAGCAATCTCTTCATTTTGCGAGTAAGGTTTGGATATCRTTTGGCCCGTCCACTGGCCTGAAATCAGAAACTWCYTTATGCGAACACATCTTGGCAATGGGAAGGTTGGACGTGAACCCCGACGTCAAAGACAGAGCACGTTTTGAGAGTTCTCTACTCCATGCATCGATTGGTTTGAAACACGATACATCGGGATTGGACGAACGATCTGGCGCCATCAAATTGGATCTCGGACAATCGAAAGCGATTCTTTTGGCAAATAAGCCTACTCCTTCTTACCTACCAATTGAAGGCGAAACCATTATCGATACAACATCTTTCCGGTTTGGGACTCTCAGCAGTCTTGTTGGCCACCGAGCTCGTGGGCCCTCCACGTCGCTTCCACAATGGGCAGCGAAAAATAGTCCGACTGCACTGCGTGAACCGATCCAGGTCGCGAAAGAACAGCTAGCGCACAACTTTTCGGAGTCCGGCCCTGATAACATAAGAGAAATGCCTGGATTCTATGACGATGACAACGATGAAGATAGCAGCAGTGATGATTCGTCAGATTCTAGTTCAAGTTCATCTGGGAGCGACTCAAGTGAATCGTCCTCAGGCGACAGTGAAAGCGATAGCGATGACTCTAGCAGCAGCTCTGATGAGAGTGATAAAAGAAACTTGAGAGTCGCRGCACCTACTTCAGTCGCAACAAATGGTTTCCAAAACAACTTGTTTCAACCGATGGGTCTAACAAATATGCCCTCCATTCCAAACTCATCCATTTCCAGGGCATGTGAACCTAAATGCACGACTGTGGAGTCGTCATCTGACGACTCTTCTGAAAGCGACGAAAGTGATGACGAATCGAGTRTCGAAAGTCCTATCATACCGCTWAAAAATTCTATGACGTCAGGACACCACGGAGGAATTCCGAACCACGTCCAGAAAGACGGCAATCTCCTTGGTATGACGTCTACAAACAATAGATTTGCTTCCASTGTGGATCAGCGTCCTACTTCGAGTTCTTCCGCTATGGACGATTTCAAAGGTCTCACCATGGAGCCTATTAAAATAGAAGATCAAGGTGTCAATTTCGAAAGAGACTCGGGCGCGTGGACTCAGCTTGTTCGACCAGAGCTCTGYGGGGGACTATCTGTAAAATCTCGATATCTACGTGGTCTTACCAAAGACAACCAACTGCAATCGAGCAACATCAATCCCTCAAACGCAAATGCTGTTTGTGTACAACTTGAATTCAGCAATAAGTACGTTTTTGTATCGTGTTACGAAGAAAGAACGATAGGTGTGACGATGCTGTGACGTGAGCTTACTCAGCACTACCTTCCTCTCTTCCAATATTTATGCTCTCTCTCTCTCTGCAACTTTAAATAATATGGTAGAAAATCAGATGCTACCCCGATCCGTCGGATCAAGGTGTTGCCCCGTTCAGCCTCCACCGGTGCCTACGCAACAAAGAAAACTTTGTGTCCCCCAGAAATAATGGAATTGAAAGCCAATGAATCAATTAGTGCTGCATTGATATTTGAGTTTGCTTCGATGTCCAATCGAGAGGGTGATTTGGTTGGTCGAATTGAAGTGAAACAGGGTTTTGGAGGAAGTGTCCCCATTGAATTCAAACCCAGTGTTGGCGAGCTCTTGTTGCCTCCTAGCAGAATTCTTTCGATCCAGGAGTTCGATTTAGCAATGAGCAGAATGCAAGGTTTTCAACGCATCGAGTCGCCGTACACAACATCGCTGCCTATCACTTCCGTATCCACTTCTGTGGTCAAGAATTCATCGTTGAAGACAATAGGGAATGGTACCTTCTCATCAGACAAGAAGCTTCGGTTGATGGGACTTCTTCCTGCAAATAAAGAACCAGTTTTGGTTAAGATCGAAGCCAACCAAGGAGGAGGCAAGATAACGGTCTGCTGCGATCATGTGGTAGCAATCAACAGCATCCTGAGTCTTGTGAAACGATCAGTGACTTCATAAATGTCACCAAAGAGTGTCGAACGGATGGCTTATTTCGTAGCWATTAGCTCAGGTTTATAACAGGCGAAGTCAACTCTGAATTTTCTTAATTTTTAGCCCTGGWAARAATCATTCGAAGYATCCATTAATTTCGAAACGACTTYCAACATTTYCATTCAAGTCTATAGCTCAGTTTCAAAAKATCTTYKTCGCAATGCATATTGTATGGTCACWAAATCGTAGTCGACAACAGCGAGTTCTACTATCAAAGAATGGAAATTTTGGTGAGGTCCAAACCATCGTTTCAGCTAAAGTGTTCATGAGCTATTGTTAAAAGTGTGTTTTTTCGTRCGACTAYTCTAATATATGTMGTCCTCACATMGGGTACAATAAGGGGAGTCGGCAAATAGCGAAGTCATTACCGCAGCTTGGTTACCGGWAAAACAAATCCCCTTAGTTATTTCCTTCACATACGAAAGAGTTCTGCGACAAGATAAGGGCGACAATTAATCCGTAAAGACCGAGGGCTTCTGCAAAAATCAAGATCAAAATCATACCAACGAAAAGCTTCTCTTGTTGTCCAACGGCTCGTACTCCGGCATCTCCGACAATTCCRATGGCCATACCAGCCGCCAGGCCGGACAGTCCACAGCAAAGGCCGGCGGCCAAGTGAGCAAAACCGGTGTATAAAGAATATTGGGAAAGGCCGTTTTGAGGAGCCACGATGGATCCCTGGATGATAACGGCAACGATGAGACCGTAGATACCCAAAACTCCCGCCATGACAACTGGAATAATGTTACGCATGACCAAACCAGGATTCATGACTCCCATGGACGAGATACCGACACCAGACTTGGCAGTTCCGTAAGCGGCACCGATGTTGGCGAAAACGAGGGCAGAAGTGACACCCATGAAACCGAAGAAGGGCGCAGAGGCCGGGCAAGTTTCCATTTCAACACTCATTGTGATTWATTTGTTTTGTTGTTTTTATTTGCTGAAATGMGGTAGAGCGATATAAATAGGTGTTGTTGTGTGATGTYGTTATGTGTATCGGTAGATGRCATAAAGACAAGAAGAGTTGGTGAGAAAAGATGAACGATGAAAACAGCATTTGTTGGATTTCACTATCTGAAGTTTAGTATCGCCGCCGTTCTGCGGTATCCGTTAAGTACCCGCGCGTGCTCTGTGAGGAACTAAGGTAGCTTTCTTCAAGAAATGACCGAAGATGGTGATTGAGATCGAATAGTAGCGGTTGGGTCGCAGGAGGGCGTCRCCGACAATGAAGCTAGTCGCATTGAGGCCAGCGCTTTGTTCGTTGCTATTGCGACCATGACAGCCCGAGGATGGTTCAAAATGACCGGGAAATCAAATTCCGGATGCCATCCGCTGAACGGAGGGAACACTGAGAACATCATCGGATCATGTCGGCTTCGTTTTCGGTTCTGGCTATCTTCTACCACGGATTCCACAACAGCATGCTTCACATGCATCTACTTTCCAATATCCTCCTCTTTTCATATGACGGGGGACGGAATGTCTTACCTCTTTATGTTGGTCTTCTKAAAGTGTGAAGATGGGACGTTTTTTGATAGTTCGGATATCTATCTGATTCGTGTGCTTCGTTGCGGTTGGGCTGACTTCCTGGTCTCGYACTTACCTTTTCCGCTACGAACGAACSTTACAACCATACCGTACCGTACAAAAAGAACCGTTCAAAAATTTATTACTTCGTACTGCACAATAGTTGGACGGTCCGTTGTGGTACGTAGTGATTCTACTACATCTACCCGTACGAGTAGGACTGTACCGTACTGTGGCCAACACGAGATGACACTCTCGGAATTTGTTTAGTCGGGTGAAGCACGGCAGGCGTTTTAGGGCTTCGCCAGACATAACATTCATCATATGGATCGTAGGTAGTACTGTGATATGCTATCCTTAATCCTTAGGAAGCACATAACGGTACGTACGTACAGTACGTACGGTAGAGTAGAAGTTAGTAGAAGGACCGCACACAGTACGATACGTACTCTCCGTAGTCCTCCGTAGGAGGAAAACATAAAACTCCCGTACCGTACACCCAACAATTTTTGACACTCTTGCAGAAGAAGCCGAAAAACTTCAAAATCGTGAACAACAACACCGGTATGTACGTACCGTTCATTGCCCCGGAGGTCCGTACTTGTACTACGAGTGCTGTAATGGTCATGKCTCTCACCCCCAACACGTCTATCCCATTTGTCGCAGTGATATCATTCGAAGAGTTTCAATAAAAAATCAGTACGGGCGCGCTAGATCGGCCAAACGAATCGATCAATCTTTCCTCCCACCTACCTCGTTTCGAATGTCCGGAAGCGTTCGAATTCAGGTCCTTTTCTTCGCGTCGGCGCGAGAGGCCGCAGGGGGGCTGTCCACGACGACCCTCGAGCTGACGACAGACGAGGCCAACACACAGAGCCTCCGCCAAAAACTGGCCTCTCTCTACCCAAAGCTAGCGAACATGGTCCAGGATGAGGATAATCTGACCCTGGCACTGAACGAAGAATATGTTACCAAAGGTCAGGTTTTGCCACTACGGGAACGAGACACGGTAGCCTTGATTCCACCCATCAGCGGTGGGTAGAAAAGGAGGGCCAAAAACTMTTGTAATGATTGAAATTATTAATACAAGAGAAATTGCTTCGAAAGCGTGTCAAAAGTCACTCTCCAGTATTTCCCGAAAATTATTCGATGCTTGTCATGCAATAGTAAGGTTGCGTTTTTTTCTATACTTTACAATCTATTGTATTCGTTTTGAMAAATTCTTGGTTGGACACTTTACGAAACTGACTGGCTACTCGGCCGTAACCTGTCGTCCTCTGTTTTTCAGCGCCAAAAAACGTTTCTTCCAAAATCGACTTTTTCTCGGGCGTTGCACCACCACCCGCCGACCAAAAGTGGCGGGGAAAGCACCCCTGTAATCCCGTTGGTCCTCATTTTCATCCCCTTGCGGAGCCTCCTCTCTTTCTTCTTCGGACCTGTCGTAGTCGAAACTACCAACAGTGCGTCTCAAGTCGTCAACAGGTTCCTCAGTGTCCACCAATGCAGCGTAATCACCATTTGTAGCATTTATGGTTGCTTCAGTACTGTCAGGAGATACCAAACTCCTCATATCATTGGTTGTCGGGCTCCATAAATCACATTCTATACTTTGGATGTRGTTGTTATCATCAACATTCTCGTTGTTGCATTGCACTACGTTGATCCTCAAATCGTCTCTTGTGAATGGAATAGATTCCTTGGCTTCATTTCTCTCGTTGTCGKGGACAAAAGGACGAGTGTGCGCCAACGCAGAAGCAGCTACACCTTGATCAGCGGATACAGTTCGCGACAAAAATTGTTGTTTGGTAAAATCAATCTCAAACGAGTCTGTAATCCACTCTAAATCGACCAAGGGAAGATTGATGAGGTCAAAGTAGATGCGTAGAATATTCCCTACAACCATTGAATTTTCGGTTGTTGTCATCACCGATTTCAAGTTTACGCAAGAAGCTTCAAGCTTGTGGAGCAGCCKCGCAAGGGATTCAATCGTCTTTCGGATTCCAAGTTTTAGTTTGTAAACGTCAGATCCATACTTTTCTGGCGAGACTATTGTCGTCAATGTAGAAGTGATACTCACATTGGATGTGTGAGGTGTGGCATCATTTGCAGAATCGGAAGGTAGAGAAAACAGCGAAGTGTCWGCACCCCGAGCAACACTTGGTGGACTCTGAGGCTCTTCCTCTAAACCGAGAGAGCTTCGGAAACCTGGAGTAGGTACCCAAAGAGGCTTTGATAGATTYRGAAAAGGGCTATAGATTGTTCATTGAAAATGATCACGAAGGAAAGTAAAAAAATTAATCAGGTCAGATACATTTTGAGTTGAAAAATGATCCARGCAAAATCTAAGCAGTTCTCTCATGTAACTTACTTTTGACGATGGTGAAGCACTTCCGTGTTTTGCAGGATGGACATACAAAATCGAAGAGCTCGCCGTTGCGCTTCACAGGAGTCGTTGTTTTCCAATCCCGCCAACAAGGTCTCCAAGAAATTGTAAATTACAATCCCAGCTTTTCCCATGTCTAAGAAGAACGAGTTGTCTATAGTGCTCTGTGGGTAAACTTCTCTCAGCACATCTAAGCTTCCTTGCAGACGTTCAAATACAGATCTAAGGAGATTTTCCTTACGTTGTCTTTCATTCTGTGCTTTTGCAAGAAGAAGGGCATCATCATTGGCGACATTACGGGCTGGAATGTCATCAGTCAATGCTTGGTAGTATCTGGGAATTTCTTGGTATTCGTCTTCTTGGTCATCCACTGTATCGGCCAAGCTAGTATTGACACTCTCGATAACATTCTGATGGAGAGAGTGACTAATAGCACTGAGATCCATTCCGTCGGTGTCTTTGATTAATGACAAAATACGGGGAGCACCAGCGGCATTCATATCTAGTTTCTCTTCCGTCATGATAGAGTTGAAATTGTACGTGCATTGATCTACAATAGACCTTTCCTCTAACCGGGAGGAGCTTGGATCGTCGCCAAGGATCCTTCGAGTAAAACTTGTGTCTTGTTCATGTTTTTCGCGCTGGTGTGCCCAGGAAGCATCGTAAGCCTTCCGTYGCAAAGAAGACGGAGACGCGTGGAGAGAAGATTGATTATCTTCRTGATAAGCATGGCCTCGCTCGACGAATTCATCGAAATCCTCACGRATAGTATCATCTTCGTCGGCATAGCGATTTGCCAGGTACTTTTCATCTCTCGGGTGATTGTCCAACCATGTACGTGGCGGCAAAATAGAATGGCGAGATATTTCATTCTGGATTTTAGGTTTGAAATCATTCCCAACYATTGGTTGGTCACATGTCTCGGTCATTGCCACAAGGAGCGCTCCAACGGCTGTTTTGGCCCTGCCACYTCTGTTTAGGTCGGGAGATACAGCGACTTGATTTCGACGGGAGTAGCTGTAGTCCAAAGAAGAATCCATTTCAAAATCCTCATCGTTAATATGACCATTTTCTTCTATTGATTGTTCATAAAAAGAAGAGCTTGAATTSATTGACGACGTCGCACGTTGATGGTAAAACGGTGGAAGAACCGCAATGTTCGGCTGCCTCTGGAACGAGGGACCAGACGAAGAAAAAGGCGGTGCAGGGGACTGCACTTGCGGCGCAAACGGTGACGAATCAAGACAAATTCTTTGTGAAAGACAAAGGGTGTTCGTCTCCTTGGTATTATTAAGAGGGAGCCTGTGCCTAGGGTTGATCCTTTCATTCTTGTAATGATTAGAGCCGAATACCTCTTTGCGGATCCTTTGAATCGACTTTCTAGGCCTCAGGCCTTCCGGCGTCGGGGGTGCACTCAGAGAATTGTAACGACTAGCATCGTCGGTGCTGCTATACTCGGYGTTGCTTTCCGCAGTGCTAGTGCTCGTAGACACACCGAGATTCCATGGATCCATCGATTGTTCGTTCTTTGGATAAGCCGACTGGTCTCCCGAAAAGTTGGCGCCATTGTTTGTTTTGCGTTGCGATATCGAAAAAAATGCAGCCATGGTGAAACTACAATTGGAATGAACGAGAAAAAYTCTGTTGTTGGAGGACAGGTTCAGATCGCTCTGCAGTGGATTATTTTCCAAAATTGTGCGATGTTATCCCGTCGCTGAACCGTGCTGGCTGCGTTGTGGACCAGAAACTTGGTTTAAAAATATACTKCTTTTGTCGAAACTCCTTTGTTCTTGGTATATATCGATAGTAATACTRTTKGCGAATTGAATAAAAGGATTGATCGGAATGGCACTCGGAATATCAGATTGGGATACTGAGAGGCCAGAGTGTTCTCCGTTGGTTTGAATTTTTTTAGAAACAGATGGTGGTATTGTGAACGTAAAGGAGTCTCGTTGGTGGTTGACGATTGATTTGTTCCAACAAAGTTCGTAACTCATTGAAGACAGCGTAGCACGACGYCTCCTATCACGAGTATCGTATTACTTCCTCTCCTTCCCATACTGTACCGTRCGGAGAACGGGGATCAAACGGATTGATTGTTGGATCGGTGGCATGCAACTCCTTCGTTGCTTTTGAACGTAACGGAGTAACGACGGAGTGTCGCCCCGCGCGAAAAGATAAAAGCCGATCGAGCCGACAGACGATAATGATAACGGTATTGAAACGTACTACAGAATTAACGTATGACATACTACGTGCCGTACATACCGAACCTATTTCCATGATAAAGACATGTTGTTGTCATATCCTTAATAGTTACTACTGTGATGTACGAAGTAATATGTATCTATTGCATTGCCTATTGCCAATTGCCAGGCCCCAAAACAGGGATCGGACGGTTCGTAGATACTCTTCATAAAATATTTCCCCCTTTTTTGAAAGGCACGAACCACGTCGCGCCCCCGATCTTCTTCGAAGTTATCAAGAATCATGAAAATCTCAATGCACACCACTAATTTTTTTRGAGCGATTTCGAAGTTATTCAGAAGACGAAAAAAGAAATACTAAGAAACAAAACGACCAAAAGAAACCGCGAAGTCAAGAGGGCAACAAATGACGCGCAAAACCAGGGACACATACCAGTACCNAAAAGATAAAAGCCGATCGAGCCGACAGACGATAATGATAACGGTATTGAAACGTACTACAGAATTAACGTATGACATACTACGTACCGTACATACCGAACCTATTTCCATGATAAAGACATGTTGTTGTCATATCCTTAATAGTTACTACTATGATGTACGAAGTAATGAGTGATTCCCGTTATTATAGAAGTGCTAAACTCATAGATTCCGGAATTCTATCATTCTATAATAACGGGAATCCGAATTTCAACGGACAGACCGAGAGCACGGCCAGCTCGATGCCGGTCTTTCCAGGAATTTGGAATCTTGTTAATTATTCTCCAACGTAAAGACTGAAAAGACTGAAATGCGCGCCATGGTACTAAGTAAAACATGAAATTTTTGATGGATTAACATGAAAGGGATACACTATATGTTTGATACTAAAGTCTCAGCGTATCAAAAACATAGTGTATCCCTTGCACTTTTCGATGCGTTACGTGAAAGGGATTTGCTATATGTTTGATACTAAAATCTCAGCGTATCAAAAACACAGCGAATCCCTTCCACTTTTCGATACTCAACTAGAGTAAGACATAAACTCATTCCTACTTATTTTCCTCCTTAGAAAAATAAGTTGAAATGAGTTCATGGCTTATCAACCAGCCGACAAACACACAAAAAGACCACAGTTTCCTCCCAGCAAAACAAAAGGCAACATCGACCATCGACAATGGGATTAATCGAAGTGATAACAATGTACTGGTACCTCCAGTTGAAGGCGGAGGATGAGCAACAAAGAAGTTACAAAAGCAAACTGTCCCCGGAAGAGAGACGTCGTAGGGACCGGAGAACCCCCAGGATTGCAATCAGGAGGTATGGAGCTTCCCCTTTCCTGTACATGTTCCACTCAGGGGATGACCAAGCTCTCCTAAACTGCTGTGGTGTCGACCACAAGGTCTTCAGGGAGCTTGTTGACCTGTTTGCTCCAGTATGGAACAAGTATACCGTGGACAGGTGAACCAATGAAATTGTGGAGGTTCCTCGTTTCCCCAGTGGCAAGTCCAAGGGGAAGAAAAGGGAAGTCGATGCAGTCTGTGCAATAGGCCTAGTCCTTTACTGGTACAGGACAAGAGGATCAGTTGCAAGGTCAATGGCRTTTGCCTTTGGCTTAACATCCACAGTGATGTATAAGTGGCTCAAATTTGCAAGGAGAGTGATGCTTGTTGCTCTCCACAAGCATCCGGAGGCCATGGTGAAAGTCCCATCACCGGAAGAAGTTGATGCTTATGTTAAGGCAATTGGAGAGAAGTATCCAAGGCTTGGGGAACAACRCGTCTGGGGAGCTGCTGATGGCCTCAAGCAAGTAATTGAAACCTCTGGAGACTGGTTGAAACAAAGACCATTCTACAATGCATGGAAGGAGAACACATACGTCAACAGTGTATTTGCATTTGCCCCAGATGGAAGGATCAGAATAGCAGTGTACAACTGCCCGGGGGCATGGCACGACAGCGCCATTGCCGAGCATGGTGTGTACCAAAGGATTGTAGAGGTCCATGAAGAGTGTGGTGGAAAGATTGTGGTGGATTCTGCATTCGCCCTGAAAGAATACAAGGATAGCCTCNGCCCCGCGCGAAAAGATAAAAGCCGATCGAGCCGACAGACGATAATGATAACGGTATTGAAACGTACTACAGAATTAACGTATGACATACTACGTGCCGTACATACCGAACCTATTTCCATGATAAAGACATGTTGTTGTCATATCCTTAATAGTTACTACTGTGATGTACGAAGTAATATGTATCTATTGCATTGCCTATTGCCAATTGCCAGGCCCCAAAACAGGGATCGGACGGTTCGTAGATACTCTTCATAAAATATTTCCCCCTTTTTTGAAAGGCACGAACCACGTCGCGCCCCCGATCTTCTTCGAAGTTATCAAGAATCATGAAAATCTCAATGCACACCACTAATTTTTTTGGAGCGATTTCGAAGTTATTCAGAAGACGAAAAAAGAAATACTAAGAAACAAAACGACCAAAAGAAACCGCGAAGTCAAGAGGGCAACAAATGACGCGCAAAACCAGGGACACATACCAGTACCAGGTACCGGTAAACCGTGTGCTTACAWTATGTCTATTCGTACGTAACGCTCAGTAGAAACAGTACGACAGTGAACCTTTAAGGGTATTTGCTCGGTCAACGTAACRATTGCTCCCAGTTTTTTCGTCTCTGGTTTTCGAACGAAAGACGTATTCGTCTTATTCACAAAACCACAGACGTCAGCTGTTCCTGTTTCACTMTTTTGGGAAGCGAACGAGCAACTTTTCATTCTCAACAACACAAAACTAAATAGAAGTARAATTTAAGAAGAACCAACCATGCACTTTGGAGGAATGCCATTTGGAGGAATGCCCGGCGGCATGCCGGGCGGTATGCCCGGTCGCAACAAAGATGTCGACACGACCAAGCTTTACGAGGTCCTAGGCGTCGACAAAGATGTCGACGAAAAATCTCTCAAGAAGGCATACCGAAAGCTCTGTCTCAAGCACCACCCCGATAAGGGAGGAGACGAGCATGTCTTCAAGGAAGTAAATGCTGGTGCGTTTCGTTATRATCGAAATGTTTTTTGGTTTTGTGTTGCTTGGTGCTTTTTGAATCCCAAACGACATATTCGAATATTGTTTCTCATCCGCATGATTACTTTGTGTCTCAAACCTCTCTTCATTTGGTCATTGGGATCCTTCAACAATGTTGCAATTTTGATCGTCTTGACAACGTTTCACTCATCTTTGCGTTGTTTTTTCAACACGAACGACACGGATGGTCATAATTATGGTGGTGAACTACGATCATTTTTCCATTCGATTTCTTCTTCCAACTACATCTAATTTACAGCCTACGAAATTTTGTCCGACSCGAAGAAACGCGAACTATACGACCAGTATGGTCTCGAGGGAGTAGAACAGGAGGGCGGACCAGGTGGTCCGGGCGSAGACGATTTGTTTTCCATGTTCTTTGGTGGCGGCGGCCGACGACGATCCTCCGGGCCCARAAAGGGACCCAGTCTCCAGCACCCACTGAAGGTTAGCCTGAACGATTTATACAATGGAAAGACCGTGAAACTAGCCATCAACCGCAAGGTGATCGTCGGAGATTCAAGCGTGTGTTCAACCTGTCGTGGACAGGGGGTTGTCATGGAGATGCGGCAAATAGGACCCGGCATGATCACGCAAATGCAGCGACCATGCYCCGACTGCAATGGAAAGGGGTACCAAGCAAAGACGAAGAACGAACGAAAGGTGATCGAGGTGCACGTAGAAAAGGGTGCGGCCAACAACCAGAAAATCAGCTTCCAGGGAATGGCCGACGAAATACCGGGACGAGAAACCGGGGACGTCAATTTTATCATACAGGAAAAGGAGCACGAACTGTTCAAGAGAAAAGGGGCCGATYTGTTGATCATGCAGGACGTCAGTTTGAACCAAGCCGTGACCGGGTTTTCGGTAAGTCGAAGATAACACAGCAAATGAACTAATATGCTGCGCGCTTTATATCATTAGGGTGAACATTGGTTGCGTCACTATCCAAGATTGTATTCTCACCTTTTTTCCATGTTTTGATTTCCACCATGCAGTTCCGTTTCGATCATCTTGATGGCAGAGATATTATTATCAAGACAAGACCTGGCGAGGTTATCCAGAGCGAGAGCAAGGACCCCGACACCGGTCGATCTATGCCCTACATGATGAAGGTTCCAGGCGAAGGTATGCCAAGCCGAGGAAACCCTTTTGTCAAGGGAGACTTGTACGTGGCATTTCACATTGAATTCCCCAAGTCGCTCGACAAGGACGTGGTAGACAAGCTGAGAGAACTCCTKCCCGATGCTAACATGGAAGAGGACTACGATCCCGACGAAGTAGAAGAACACTTCATGGTAGAAGCCGATCTTCGTCACTTTGGAAAGGGTGGAGCTGAGGTTAGTGGTGGCGAATACGACAGTGACGACGAGGGCGGCGGCCAAAACGTCCAATGTCAGCAGTCGTAAGTATTGATATGTAGTATTAACAAAGAGGAAAAAATTATAGCAAAAAGTTAGAATCATAGTAATCACAGGGAGAGATTTCTTCACAACACAAGTACTTCTTTAGGTGCATACAGTGTTCGACATATATATATATATATATATATATATATATATTCAGTTTCTTATTTTTTTTATTGATGTCGAGAGAGGTTACACATGTGACAGATCCATGTAGAAGCAAAATACTGCCATGGAATACAAGCAAACTTTGACGTCGGGAAAATCACTCAAAATTAGGAAAACGAATACGTAGAATCAATGATTCCCAAAGCTGACACAACTCAGGGCAAGCTTTGTATTAGCTAATTCATGTTGTGAGATGCTGGGTATGACCAGGCCTGTATTGAGAAATTCAAGTTCCATAGTAAGGGAGAGATTAGCAAATGTGGATTGCTTCAACATGCTTAAGATGTACCAGTGGAACAAATCCCTGAAGGTGAGACTGCTRTTTGGTAGCTTGGAAGTTTTCCAAATTTAGCACCATGGGCTGTCTCTCCCCTCTCTTTGGTTTGTAAAATCTGCTTMTGCCAAGCAGACAAGRAGACAGCATTTCTGAAASAAAGAAAAACCAAAAGATGACCATCAAAACAAGAAGAAATTTAGTTGAAAGATCTCTATGCAACAATTTCATCCAAAGAAATTGTGCAATAGGGAAAATGGAATGTCTGCAAAGAACTAAATCTGCTTTTTGTTGTTGTGAGAGCCAATGTGCACCAGCAACACCACCTAGCCAGATGTCCTCCTCCTCACCCTGCTGTTCCTCCTTGTTTTCCAATCAGCAATTACTACTAGTACTAGTAGGTTGGCCCTGGATGGTACTACTACTAGTACTTTTTCAGCTTTGAGCAGCACAGGAAGATCATGGTACTAGTACATACTATGATTGAAAAAAAAATGGAATGCACCAACCATTTTTGTAGTTTTCAAAGGTACTTGTTGTTGAGTTTATGACTACAGTACCTCAGTGATACATACCTCTTTGTACAGGTACATACTGTGAGAGTTAATTCATAAGTAACAAGAAGTGTGTTTTTTGTGTGTGTTTGGAAAGTGTATGACTACGCACCAGTTATTTCAATATAAAATGTGTTAATCATAGAATCCTACCACGCCCTACTGGGCAAAAATGCATTCTATTCAGCCAAACACCCAAAGTTATTACTAGTAAAATCACGGTTAATTTTGAAGCCCAGTATTTTAGTACTGATCCTACATAGATCTACTAGTTTTTGGTCACTTTTTTTACCACAACCAGTTCAATAAGCTACTAGTAAATAACAAGCTTAACACAACACCACCAGCTCTGGAAAGGCCTCTACTAATGCTCTAATGAGATCCCATTTGGGGATATGCTCYATCATTGTGTTAAGAGTGCTGTGTTTCATTGTTGCATGATTAGAGGCAAGGGGGGAGCTGGGTCTCCATTCACACCAGCTGGTATGACCATATTTTGCTAGTAGTAGTAGTACTACTACTACTAGTTTCCGAGACCAGCTACTACTACTACTAGAGTGGACAGAAAATAGGCCAGAGCTTTATGAAAAAACAACTCTAGACTAGTACTAGTAAGTGCTCAGTCCAAGTTGATATAATTAATTAAATATCCATGTCATTGGGAAGCTTAAGAATGCTCTGGTGGCTTGGAACTAGTCTGCCAAAGTTACACTACTAGTGGGTGGCCAAAAATCATGGAAGTCGAAGAATAGAATAAAAAAGTACAAAAATAGTCGTTATTCTACTGGAATTGTCCTTCTGGAATAAGGGAGTTTGAGGGTCGGAAAAATGTAAAAACATGGTATCAAGAAATTTTTAATGTAGAGCATGTACTAGGTTGAACGCCTTTTTTTTCTGAAGAAATATAAAGTTACGGAAATGAGATGGTGGTGGCAAGAGATGAGTTTGCTGATATCTATTCAAAATTTGACTTCCACTTGCAGCGCACCGCAAAAGACTAATCGTGCATTAATTTTGGCTGTAATTTTATCGAAATAACTGTKACGTACCGTAGTACGGTACGGCACTACATCTCTTGTCCCTATTTCCGCATTGGGTCGTGACTCATCTGAACACGGGACTGCCCGACAMTTGCGAGCACCATCGAAAATGTTTTGTGTTTCGATAAATCCGAAACTGGTTGAACAGACAACATAACATAGAGTGACCATGGATGCCGACGGAAGGCGTCGTCCCACGCCAGCACGAATTTTGCACTAAAAAATGACCAAGATTCCTAAGGGAAGCGTGTTGACCGAG